TTACATATCCATCAACAGTGATTTTGACATACACACATTTGTCACACTCATTTATTTTAAATCCATTTGATATTATAACACTATCAAATTTTTCATTCCATTGCTTTGGTGCTTGCTTAAGTCCATATAATGACTTTACCAACTTACATACTTTCTTTTCTTGTCCTGGAGCTACATAACCCTCAGGTTGTTCCATGTAAATTTCCTCATCAAGGTCTCCATTAAGAAAAGTTGTCTTAATATCCATTTGATGTACTTCTAAATTCCATAAAGCGACAATTGCAAGTATCATTCTTATATAAGTTATTCTTGATACGGGTGAATATGTATCAAAGTAATCAAAACCTTCCTTTTGTCGGTACCCTTTAATAACCAATCTGGCCTTGTACTTATCAATTGTTCCATCTGCTTTCATTTTTCGTTTGAAGATCCATTTAGAATTTAATGGTTTAATTCCATGAGGAAGATCCACTAATTCCCACGTATGATTTTGCATGATGGAATCAATTTCACTTTTGATGGCATTTTTCCAAAAATTACTTTCAGATGAATGTATAGCTTTGCTATAAGTTACAGGTTCAGTCTCTAGCATATAAGTTAGAAAATCCGATCCAAAGGATTTTTCTACTCATGCCCTTTTACTTCTTCTTGGCTCTATCTCAACTTCAACCTCTTGTTGGAAGTCTTGACTATTTCATTAATAGTTTCTAAAGTTCGTTTCCTTGAACTTGAGCCAACTTCTCTAATTTTACAAGGAAATCTATTTTCAAAGAATGAGGCATTTTTAGATTCTAATATCGTATTCTTGTGAATTTCTGGATTCTTTGATTCATGCACAAGAAATCGATATGCATTACTGTGGTGAGCATAGCCAATGAAAATACAATCCACTGTTTTAGGACCTATTTTCGTTTGCTTTGATAAAGGAGCCATTACCTTTGCAAGACACCCCCACACTTTCAAGTAATTGTAGGAGGGTTTCTTGCCTATCCACAACTCATATGATGTCTTATTTTTTTTCTTGCGAGGCACCATATTTAAAAGGTAATTTGATGATAAGACAGCTTCCCCCCACATGTTCTGTGACAACCCAGAACTTCCTAGCATAGCGTTCATCATTTCCTTTAATGTTCGATTTTTCCGCTCTGCTACTCCATTCGATTGAGGAGAGTATGGTGGTGTTACCTCATGAATAATACCATGTTGTGAACAATATTGACCAAATGGTTCAACATATTCACCACCACGATCACTACTCACCCTCTTAATCCTTTTGTTAAGTTGGGTTTCAACTTCTTGCTTATAGAGAATAAATTTTTCTATAGCTTCATCTTTGCTTTTAAGAAAATATACATAGCAATATTTTGTGCTATCATCAATGAAAGTAATAAAATATTTATTCCCTCCTCTAGTTTGAACAAATTTTAAGTCGCAAACATCACTGTGCATTAGATCAAGAGGTTCTGTATTTCTTTCAACGGGTTTAAATGAAGACCTTGTTAGTTTAGCTTCAACACATGTTTCACATTTATGATTATAATTAATGTGAAATAGAGGAATATGTTCTAAGTTAATTAATCTACGTCAAGTATCATAATTAACATGTCCGAGTCTACCATTCTATAGATTTAATGACTCAATCATATAAACAGAAGAAGAAGAATCATTCTTATTTATATTTTTATCTTTTACAGAGATAGCATTAAGTTTCCACATATTGTTCAATACATATCCCCTTCCCACAAATATTCCCCCTTTTGATAAAATTAACTTCTAGGATTCAAACACCATCCTAAAGCCATGTATACTTAGGAGGGTCCCAGAGACAAGGTTCTTTCGTATGTCAGTCACATACAACACGTTTTGAAGTTTCAACTCTTTGCCAGAAGTCATCTTTAAAATTACAGTGCCTTTCCCCTTGATCTTGGAAGTTGCATCATTGCCTATATAGAGCTTTTATCCTTTCTCACAAGAAACCAACTCTGCAAAGGAGTCCTTGTCACAAAAAATATGGCGTGTGGCACCAGTATCAAGCCACCATTCTCTTAGATTTGAATAAACCATGTTAACTTCAGAGACCACAGCACATAGGTCAAGTTCAGATACTTCCTTGGAAATTTCTGTCACAACATTAGCCTCTTTTATTATGGACCTTTTTGGAAGCCTACACTCGGATGACATGTGTCCCGTCTTATTGCAATTAAAGCATTTCCCTTGGAATTTTTGCTTCTTAGAAACACTGCCTTTTGGTCCTAGTTTAGACTCAATTTGAGCTTGCTTTCTTTTCTTGAAGTCCTTTTTTACTTCTACCACATTTGCCTTGGCAATGTTATGATTGACTGTTTTGTTTAGCCTTTTAGCCGCACATCGATTGTCTTCTTCAATCCGAAGTCTCACAATCAGATCTTCCACTGTCATTTATTTTCTCTTATGCTTAAGATAATTCTTAAAGTCATTCCAAGTAGGCGGAAGTTTTTCAATAATGGCTGCCACCTGAAAGGATTCACTTATAATCATCCCTTCTGCGAGAATACCATGAATGATCAGTTGGAATTCTTGCACCTGATTCACAACAATTTTAGAATCAACCATTACAAAGTTTAAGAATTTGGCAACTAAGAATTTCTTAGCACCATCATCTTCAGTTTTGTATTTATGGTCCAATGATTCCCATAGTTCTTTATCCGTTTTCTTTACGTTGTATACTTCATAAAGTGCATCAGATAAACCATTCAAGATGTAGTTACAACATAGGAAATTAGAGTGTTTTCATGCTTCGGTAATGTTGAACGCGGTTGCAGCATCCACTTCATCATCTCTAATAGTAGAAGGATCATCCTTCAAAAATTTGGCCAGATTCAATGTCGTCAAATAAAACAACATTTTCTGTTGCCATGTTTTGAAATTCTCTCCATTGAATTTCGCATGCTTTTCATTATGACTCATGGTCATAGGCAACGTTTGGCTCGCAGCCTGAGTCTGTGTAGCGATAATCACATTAGATTGTGAATTGGATGAAGTATAATACATTTTTCTGTAATCAGAATCAAAACTGAAATAATAAATATAATATGAAACGAAATATATATTTACCTAAATATATTACCACAATAATCTGTATGAGTTTAGATTGAACTACAACACAAGGAATCTGTCTTAAGATTATTGCAAAATATTGAAAAATAGTGTTGTAGTATTACAATCTAAAAAAAATCGTTTCAAGAATAAAGTTAAAAAATGTGAAATTAAAATAGAACCTGTAATCGGATGAAATTGAATATGTAGAAGAAGAGTTTTGTTGAGGCCTGAATGAACAGTTTTCTTAAGACATATTCGTCCTCTCCTCGGTGCTTTGAGTAACGTTGGACGTCGGTCTCTCAGGATACAACAAAAAAAACGTTCACAACAGTAAGCACAACTGTAGTGAACAATCGAACATAATCTTTGTCTTTATCTATCACCGGAAAATGACTTTTGAAGAATCGGAGAATTGAAAGGAAAGTACTTGAAAGAAAATAGTAAAAGTTGTGTGTTGAAATGTGTCACAACTTAGCCTTTATATAGGGAGAGTATTGAAATGTTAAGACCTTTATTGAAAGGTTAAGACCTTTATTGAAAGGTTAAGACCTTTAAAAGAAATGACTTAACCATTTGATTAAAAATCATAATCTTTTAATCAAAAGGTTATCATGGAAAGACATGACCTTTAGAGTGAAATGAAATAACTATTTTCATGAAAAGACTTAATTATTTTTCTTGAATAGTCATGATTCAATCAATTCATTTATATTTTTCCTACAATAACAAGCATGAGGAAATGTGCATGGATAACATACTTCCGTTGGATTCCACGCGAGGAGAATCAAGCCGCAGACAAGATAACCAAGACTGCTCCACCACATCACTTCCAGTTGGTGATTCACGATACTCCACCTGCAGATCTGGAAAGCATATTAAATAGATTGTCCCAAGGCTTTGGAAAACAATGCACCTAATAACTCAGACAGTAATGAGTTTGACGCATTTTGCATGATTGTGAGGCAAAATTTGAGAAAACAAAAAGTTAATGACTCGGATATACAACGAACAAACATCTTCCACACGAGATGTCAAATTAAAGAGAAAGTATACCTATTGATCATTGACAACGGAAGTTGTGTCAATGTAATTAATAGTTATTTGGTGGATACACTTAATTTGCCTTGATAAAGACATCCAAAGTCATATTGTTTACAATGGCTTAATGAGAGTGCCGAGTTGAAAGTCATGAAACAATGCATCGTTAATCTGAAGATGAACAAGTATTGTGATGATGTTTGGTGTGATGTACTTCCGATGCAAGCATCTTACATTCTTTTGGGACGATCATGGCAATATGACAAAGATGTCACTTACTAAGGTAAAGCAAACAAATACTCCCTCGTAGACCAACGTCTTGGGCTCGTAATTGTTCCACCTCACCACGAGAACTCTATTCACGGGAACACCGAGTTGCTAAGCGACGTCTTCCAAAGTAATCGTCGTTTCATCACTTGGGAAATGGAAGGTGTGCGTCTCGGGCCGCTAACGTTTGATCAGAGTCTAGATCAACACCAGGTACACCTTTAAGCCACATACAAATATGGTAGGAAAATGATCGGATTGCAGAAGATATATCAACATCCGCTGATGCGGATCTCTCGCAGTCATCTTGTACTGATGAATACTCCGTTCTTCTTCCGACTAGAGTTTGATCGACGAAATATGAACGTTGTCGAGGCGCAACATTCTCAACAATCTATTCTTATGATAGTTAGTTTTTTAGCCTAATTGTATAGGTTCATTTTAATTAAAAAAAATAACGTTAGTACTAAAATTAACAAAATTAAAAATTTAGAAATATAAACGAGTCGAAATTTAAAATTTAATGGTATTTGGTGTAATTTACCCTATGAATAATAACATCGTGCAAAACTAAAAAATCAAGACAGATTCAGTACAGATGGCGTTGGAACCGGAAGCTTTGAAAATCCAGAGCCATTGTAGTTTGTAGGCCGATAATTAGGAACCTCCTTTCCGGTTCGCTCCATCCCTTTCCTTTTTTTTTTTGTTTTTTTGTTTCTTCACCTCCCCCCAATTACTCTCTTTCTTAAATCGCACTCAAAATATAGAATGTTTCCGTCACTTTCACTTTCAGCTAAAAGGGATATGAATTTCTTGCGTGAAAGGTGAAACCCAAATGCCTTTGCTCTTCGAAATCTGCCATTAAAGAACCCAATTTCCGGGGTAAAAGTTAAACATACTTTCATTTGTTTTTCTCTTGAAACTTTGTTTTTCGCTCTGGGTTTCTTGTTCTTCTTTGCTGGCTTTGCTTTTGATGCTTTGGTTAGGTGGCTTGATTGGCTTCATTTTGCTGCTTTCTTTTCTTTTCTCTTCTAATCCGGCGTTTGAGACGGATCAACTGGGGCTCTTTTGCATATCAAAAGGACGAAATTAAGGTAACACCCATTTTTATTTTCTACATCTTTGGGAAATCTTGAGCAAAAGAACGAAACCTTTATACTTTGGGTACTTAGTGTTCCATCTTTATGCGATTTCCAAATCATGGAACTACACCATTTCTGGGTTGGTTCTTAGATCTATGCACAAACAGTAAAATTTTTGTTTCTTTCACTCTGCATACTAGTTTTAATTCCAATTGACAAGTTTATTATACTTTGTTTCTTTGTTCCTTTCCTTTATTTCTGAACTCTTTTTTTTGGATCTAAAGAATGGCTTCAATTTTCTTTCTTAATACCATAATCATCTCTTTCCTTAGTGTGTGCAGTATTCTGCTCTGAGTTGTACCTGTTTTTGCCTGTTTTTTCTGTTTTTAACTCAGCATAAAAAGAAATCCCTTTGATGAAGTTGTGTTCTTTCTGTGTCCATAAGCGTTTGTGTAACATCTTAATTTGCTAAATCTCTCAATTACTGCATTATAAATCCTTCTATGTTATTCAAGAACTAAGGTATAATAATCTGTTTTTACCTCTTTTTTCTTTTTTATAGCTTCTTTGCTTTTAATAATATTGGAGTTGCTTATTGTATTTCCTTTTTCCCCATCATTAACCTGAATGAAATCAGATGGACGAGCAATGCGACTTTCGAGGCTGGGATGAACTGATCCCGGATGCACTGGGGCAAATTTTTAGCAACCTGTCCTTACAAGAGATACTAACAGTCATTCCCTGTGTCTGCAAATCCTGGAGAGCGGTAGTGATGGGTCCATATTGTTGGCAAGAAATAGACATTGAAGAATGGAGCAATGGATGCCAACCGGACCATCCAGGTCGGATGCTTCAAATGCTCATCACTAGAAGCAGCGGATCTCTTCGCAAGTTATGTGTTTCCGGCCTTCAGAATGATACGATTTTTTCGTTTGTCACAGAGAAGTAAGTTCAACTGCCCTTAACTATTTTGGTAATTGCCTTTGCCTGTAATGTAACGAGTCTTGTCTCATTTATGACAACATTTTTCCTATCATTAATTCTTGCTTTAGTTTGGTTTTGGTTAGTCTTACATGTGCTAGTTTGAACAGCAATTTCAGTGTTCTTGATAAGATTTCCGATGAGACTTTTGTAATTTCTTTAAGAAACACGGGATCATACTTTTTACTTTTAAGGGATCATTGTTTAATGGAATCTTTTAACTGATATGGTATGCTTTTTTTCTTTTCCGTTGCTTTTGCAAGTGCTGGTTCCCTTCGGTCTTTGCGACTGCCAAGAAGTGAAATGAGTGATTTAGTTGTTGAACAAACTGCTGGAAGGCTTTCCTCAATCACTTGTTTGGATTTGAGTTACTGTGGTAAAATTGGTGCCCGCGCTTTAGAGGCCATTGGAAAGCACTGTAAACTGCTGGTTAGTTTGTGCCGCAACATGCACCCATTGGATGCAGCAGGCAAACTCTCACAGGATGACGAGGCAAATGCCATAGCTGCTACTATGCCTAGGCTCAAGCGCCTCGAGATGGCTTATCATCTTATCAGCACCGCAAGTGTTCTGAAAATCCTATCCGGCTGTCTCCAGCTCGAATTTTTTGATTTAAGAGGTTGCTGGGATGTGAAACTCGATGATCAATTCGTGAAGGAAAAGTTCCCGAAATTGAAGGTTCTGGGACCTCTGGTCATGGACTGCTATGAGATGGGTGAGTGGGATGATTGCTCGGACTTCTCCGACAGTTTCGAGTATTTGGCCTGGGAGTTTGAAATGGGCAACTATGATGAGGACGATGACGATGACGATGACGACGACATTTTTGATGAAATGTGGCATGGTGAAGGAATACTGAACGACTTTGAACTGAGATTCTATGACGGAATCGGTGGTGATGCCGGAATGCTTGGTTGGCCACCATCTCCATAGGTTCTAGATATATGGCAATTCTAAATGTGAAAAATGAAACCATGTATTTCTATGTTTGAATGTGAAGTTAGAATTTGTGTGATTTGTTCCTCATCATCTGAAGAATGCCTTTGTACAGTGTAGAATTCATGGATTTTGTCTCCTGCTTAAAGAAGACTTTGGCATGCTAAGATGAATGAGGATCCTGCTGGGTTCATAGGGGAGATGGGGCCACTTGTTTAGGCATAAATGGCAGTTGAAGTCAAAGGTGATTGTACGGGTGAATCAATTACTATTGTAAGACAATGATCTCTGCCTTTGAGCCTACATTCCAAGTAAGTGATACTAAATAGAATTCTTTGGAAAAAAGGGATAAATTACGTATTTAGTAACTTAATTATTCTAGCAATATCGTTTTGATTATTCAATCTTTTTTAAAATCATACTTAAAGTTACATTTTAGTTATCAACGCATTTTGTTCAAATGGTAAGCAGTTTGATATTGTTTTAACGTGTCGAGTTTGAGTCATTGTATATGTAGAAAATCATCCATTGAAGTCAGGTGTGTGAAACGAGTTGATCCGAATTAGTCAAGGCAAAGCCTTGTGGATTCGAGAAGGCAACAAAAAAAAAGTTACATTTTGACTCTGTGTTAATCACCCATAATTAAAAAAATAATAATGATATTGACGAGTCATCATAAGATAATATTATGTGATCATTAAAAAATTTATTATATCAATAATTCCACTTTTTAAACAACGGAAAGTTAAAACAGAATCAAAATGTAAGATTAATATTATTTAAAAAAAAATAGGTGGATGACCAAAATAAAATTATTAAAAAAATTGAGTGACTAATGCATAGTTTGTCCTATAATAAATATGAAATTGAAGCTACATACATTACTAAATTAATAAATATTTTACAATTTAAAGTCATTTATTAAAATATTAGGGATTTAATATAGAAATAGTAATTCAAATAATAAAATAGATTATTTTTAGGGTCCACCAAACCAAACCAACCTTTGAAAAATAAATTATATCTCTATATAAATCCGATACATAAAAAAATTAATTTTAAGATTAAGATTTGGATCTCATTATTCATTACTTTATTATATTTTCAAAATTCAATGTTCCCTTGGCCACTAATTTATGTTTTAGGTTTTGGGACACCTCTACGCCCAATAATAACTCTAATAATAATATAATTGTTTTTCATAATTAAAATTTACTAAATAAATAAATGGGAAATTATGTGTTGAGTACTTTTTCAAAATCATACCTAAAGTTTAGTTTTTGTTTTATTTTAGTATCCCGTTCAAAATCTAACGTTAATTTTTTAAAAAAAATTAAAAGTTTAGGTACTAAAAAGAACCAAAACTGATAGTTTAGGTACTAAACACATAAGTTTTTAACTGTGGTGGTACCAAAATGAAATAAAAATTAAACATTATATATGATTTTGAAAAAAAAAATTAAAATCTAGATAATAAAACAAACCAAAACGGATAGTTTAGTTAGTAGTTTACCCTAAAACTAAATATTATGTATGATTTTAACTTAAAACGAATGTAAATACATAAATTTAAATTCACAAAAATTAGTATTTGTTAGTTTTGAATAGTATGTAATGATTATAATGTAATATATATTAAGATTCTTTTTTCACCATTAAGAATACACATCCTGTAAACCCTGCTACTTGAATCCAGGATTTCAAAAAAATATTATCTTTGACTACGAGATCACTTAATTGGTTTTAATCAAATAATTTATTTATACATTATATGATTAAAAATGTTTAGATATTAAATGTCAGCTTAGATATAACACATAATATATTTAAAAAAATATTATGCATTTATTGCAGAAATCATTTGGATCTTATGTGTCAAATAAATAAATAGCCTATTAAATTTTAATGACATAATTTGATGTCTACAGGTTAGGTCTAAACTAGGCATATAATATGTATACACGTTTAAAATTTGATCTCTCTCTCTCTCTATATATATATATTAAATATGTTTTACATCCATGTACCAAAAAGAAAATGTTTTACATCAGATCCAAACTAAAATTTAATATTTAAAAAGTTATTAAATTGATAGTTTGAAGATAAGATCAAATTATAATATGTTGAAGTTTGGAGACTAATATAAAAACGAGCATAGTTTGAGGATTCGTAATGCAATTATCTCAAAAAAGCTGAAGATAAAAAGGGTAAACTACAGAAACGGTCACTATTATTTGAGTAAGTTTTTGTTTTCTCCACTGAAATTAAAAAAGTAATAAATTGGTCACTAATATCATCGATTTATAACAAATCAGTCACTCCCCATTATCTACCGTTAATGTGGATGACGGAAAACTTATGTGGCTGTTAACTATTTACCTGGAAACATTGACCGTCATGCTGGAAAGTCGTTGGAAAATCGGTTAAGGTGAAGCCGTTTAAACTTCCGTCAGCGAAGACAACTGTTGCTGCTTCGGCGAAGAAGAAGCCGACTGCTACTAAGGTGAAATCTAAACCTGTTTCCAAATTCGGGAAGGGTTCTAAACCGACTTCTAAGGCTCCATCGAAGACAAAATCTATTTTCAAGCCGAAGTTCAATGTGGAGGCAAAATAAATTTTGGGATTCTTCCTTCTATAAATTTGTGCCTTAAAAAAAAAGAGAAAATAACTTCAGTGACCGAAAATGCTTTATAATATATGATTTTAACCAATTTTTTTTGTATTTGCAAAAATAACCAACAAATTCGCAACGCGAACATGGAAATTTTCGCAACGCTAATTACGATATAGGTAAACACAACTATTCTCAACGCGAGTTTCGCAAATCGAATTCGCCAATTTCGCAACTCAATTACCGATATAGGTAAAAAAGGTAGAAAAAATCCGGTCAAATATCTGAATTCGCCAATTTGAAAACTGAGTTGCGAATTTGGCAAATTCGTGTTGCGAAATGTAAAATCTCGCCTCTTAAAGAAAAAATCATTTCGACAATTCGTTTGTTTGGTTAAAGTTAAACGAACGAACGAACATGAACATACCCTCGTTCGTGTGTTTAATTCATTTACAGGCGTAGGTTTAGCTGAGTGATTCATACGTGGAGTTAGCAACTGAGATGTCACAGGTTGAAAACCACTCCAGTGCATTTTATGTCCTTTAATTTTTTCTTTAAGAGACGAGATTTTACATTTCGCAACACGAATTTTCCAAATTCGCAACTCAGTTTTCAAATTGTCGAATTCGGATTTTTTACCGGATTTTTTCTACAGTGTTTACCTATATCGGTAATTGAGTTACGAAATTGGCAAATTCGATTTGCGAAAATCGCTTTGCGAATAGTTGTGTTTACCTATATCGATAATTAACGTTGCGAAATTCGCGTTGTGAAAACGAAATTCGCATTGCGAAAATTTCCATGTTCGCGTTGCGAATTTGGAAACTGTTCGTTCGTTCGTTTAACTTTAACTAAACAAACGAACTGTCGAAATGATTTTTTCTTTAAGAGGCAAGATTTTACATTTCGCAACACGAATTTGCCAAATTCGCAACTCAGTTTTCAAATTGGCGAATTTGGATTTTTGACCGGATTTTTTCTACCTTGTTTACCTATGTCGGTAATTGAGTTGCGAAATTGGCGAATTCGATTTGCGAAATTCGCGTTGCGAATAGTTGTGTTTACCTATATCAGTAATTAGCGTTGCGAAAATTTCCATGTTCGTTTTGCGAATTTGGAAACTATGTTGCGAAATAGGAGTTCGCGTTGCGAATTTGTTGGTTATTTTTACAAATCCAAAAAAAAATTGGTTAAAATCGTATATTATAAAGTATTTTCGGTCACTGAAGTTATTTTCTCTAAAAAAAAATATTGTCTCATTTTCTTTATATTTCTGCAATATTATTTCATGCAGGTGGGCGCTGAGATAAAATTTGACTAATTCGTTGCCTCAATTTTGCAATGGTTACAAAAGAGAGAAAGTGGTACTTGAAATTGTCTGCTTTGCTCTGATGATGACTGCCATTTATAATCTTTCTACAACGCCATTGTAATGAAACTTTATACGAGTTTTTCTGCATCAAATTATTAACTTATGCTTTTGTAAGCTTATATTCATGATCTTTCGAAAACCTTGTTATATATGAGTTCCAGGATTAACATGTTTTATAAAAAAAAAATTAGCTGACCCTTGTTCCCATATGTAATGGGACAAGGGGAGGTAAAATAATAGACTGCCCCCCAATGCTAGGTTTAGAGCAGCTTCCGTGGGAGACCTCCATATTATGAAATGTATTTATAGTTGGTTGAACCAAATCCGCTTCTCTCCACTGTTTCTTTCTTTAGTCCTTTCCCACAATGGAGATGGTGCCTTAAACTATTCGTTGTTATTGGGGCAAGAATATGACTTAGAACATGCATTTTCTGCTGCTCTTATTATTTCATTACAATTAATTGTGATGGCTTTGCTTTACTTTTCTTCTTCAACATTGCAACTAATTAAGTAGATGAAAATGGGCAAGATTTAACCTTTATAATTAGCAGCACCATTTAAAGAATGAAATCCAGTCGTCTATTTTACATCAAGTGATCGTGTTGTTCTTCATATGCCTTTTGTTGAATCCCCTCAAGGTAATATAATGAAAGATTCAAGCCACGAAGAAAATCATTTTTTACATATAGGCATGTTAAATAAATACACACAGCTGATCCTGATTTCTTACAGGCATTCAAATGTAAGCTATCCCATGTTGTTCGAAACAAACAAGAAATCATTGTTTCTTGCATCACATTGCACTATGCAATTTTTTTGTATGATGCTTATCAACCTATGAGAAGATTTCTTTGGCGTTCTTTGCAATAGGAGTTGAGGTTTCTACCATGGTTAACCATGAAGTAATGAAAAACTTTCAATTTCTTCATAATTTTTTAAAAAATAAAATAAATTCAAATTGTACATGTTTTTTCCTTTGAACTAAATATTAGCACCCACTTGTATGAAATAATATTGTAGAAATGTAAAGCAAATGAGAAAATATTTTTTTATTGCATAACAATTGTAAATGTAAAATTAGTCTCAAAATCCTAAAAAGAAAGGTTAAGCGAGAAGAAACGTTAGAGGGAAGGCGCGTGAGGAAATCTCGCGAATGGAACGCGGGAGAACTAGACTGCCTCTTTATATTTTTGATGAAAAGGTGAGCGTAGGGTAGGAATAGCATTCATACAGTTTTGTGTATATGTTTGTTTCTTTTGCAATGGGTGAATAATGGAATAATGCCCATTTTTAGAAAACTTGAAAGTACTTTGATTGGTTGCCATGTAGTTTGGAGAATCTGCACCTGGCTTGTTGGAAGATTATAATGTGCCCCAAATATTTCAAGAAGACTTCTTTGATGTTTTAGATAGGGATAGTCGGCCACCATTGAGATGGCTTATCATTGGGCCAGAGAGGTCTGGTGCCTCTTGGCACGTTGATCCAGCACTTACCAGTGCCTGGAATACTCTTCTTTGTGGTAGTAAAAGGTATTTTGAGATATGACCTCTGTATTTATAAAATGCTTCCATGTGGTGGTTTTGGATTTCACATATTGTACCTCAAACTTAATATTAGTACAAGTCTGTTTGTGGAGCTCATTCGGAATACCCTAGAGCAACTATTTTAAATGTTTTCTTTTATCCATTTTATTTGACGTTATATTGGTGTCCTTGTTATTGGTTTATGGTGTACCATAAACTTCCTGATAATTGAATTTCAGCTGCATAAGGTTGTCTCTTTTGTTGCTTTGTATAGCTGAAATACTACTGTCATGGATGTCATGTCTCTATTTTTTTGGACAGGTGGGCATTGTATCCTCCTGGAAGAGTTCCTTTGGGTGTTACAGTGCATGTAAATGATGAAGATGGTGATGTCAACATTGATACTCTGTCATCATCACAGGTATATAAACTATGGCCCTCTGCTTGCATTCCTAGTTCTTGTCTCATTTTTCGAGGTTACGTTTATTGATTCCCCTTTGTTTGTGTGTGTGTGTGTCTGTGTGCAGTGGTGGCTTGATTATTATCCACTTCTTGCTGATGAAGACAAGCCAATTGAGTGTACTCAGCTGCCTGGGGAGAAGATATTTGTTCCAAGCGGATGGTGGCACTGTGTCCTGAATCTGGAAGCAACTGTTGCTGTGACACAAAATTTTGTAAATTCCAGAAACTTTGAATGTGTATGTTTAGATATGGCTCCAGGTTACCAGCATAAAGGGGTTCGTCGTGTTGGATTGCTTGCTCTTGATGGAGGCTGCTTAGAGAACATGGAGAAGAACATGTCCTGTGACAAAGACAATTTTAATTATTCAGATCTGACAAGGAAAGAGAAGCGGGTTAAATTTCCAAGTTCTCAAGACAGTGAAAATCACGAAGGAATTGCTAATGGTGCTTCTAAAAGATATAATCTATGGAAACATGGCTTTTCTTATGATATAAGTTTCTTGGCTATGTTTTTGGATAGAGAGAAGGACCACTATACTTCTCCATGGAGCTTGGGCAATTGCATAGGGCCACGAGAAATGAGGGAATGGCTTGCCAAGCTTTGGGTTAGAAAACCGGGAATGAGAGAGCTGATTTGGAAGGTATGTTACATTTCTAACCAAGTTTGTTCATCCCACCAATCCAGTCCTTTCTTTTGCTTCGTTTTCACTTCCAATGGATGAGTTGACTAAGAAAATTGTTATACGGACCCATATGTTGGAAGAGAGATAAACTAGGAATATACTTAAAAAGGTTGTTTCTGATTGCAAATTGTTGAAAAAGAAAAGAAAGATCACATTGATTATTTATAAGTGCATGATAAGGAAAATCTTCTGCTGACATTTTTGTATTATCGTGCCTGGTTGGTTTCTTCTCCCCTAAATGCTCTCTGTGGTGGTTACTAGAGATTTTTCCTATTATTATGCTTGTCCAAATCTTTAGCGTAGGATACATATGGCGTTCACTATTAATAAATATCTTTTATCTTGTTTTTAACTATTTTTTATTTATTTTAATTCCTCCTGTAATTGTCTTAGGGAGCATGTCTTGAAATGAATGCAGACAAATGGTTGGAGTGCTTGGTGAAAATCTGCTCATTTCACAATTTGCCTTTTCCCAATGATGATGAGAAGCTTCCTGTTGGAACAGGCAGCAATCCTGTGAGTTCTTTTGTCATTTTCGTTAATTTCTTAAATTCTGTTTTCTTTTACATATTGGAAATTAGCGGAACTGGTTCTGATAAATCAATTCTCATTAACTTATTCGGAGGCAGGCTTTTCTCTAGTGTCATATTAACCATATTCCATTGGACATGATTAACTTTGATATAAGATCTGAGCTTTTTAAGGAATACTAAAAGTTTGTGAATGATTCCTACATATTGGTCTTCTGCAACATGTGATCTAAGTGCTGTTTATTTATTTTTTTGATTAGAATTTCGATGTATCTGATCTTTATGTTAACTGTTTTTGACTAACATTTTTATAAGCAATCATTTAATCAACATAGATTTATTTTTGTAGTTTTGATTGATTATTCTAATTCTTCTGCAACAGGTCTATGTCATGGATGAATATGTGGTGAAAATCTTTGTTGAAGAAGGGCTGGAATCTTCAATACACGGTTTAGGCACTGAGGTAGGTGTATGTGCAAATTTATACTCTTCGTGTCCGTGGATCTTTTACATACCGTTAAGTTTATTATTTCCTTCCATGCAGCTTGAATTCTACAACACTCTTTGTGAAGTTAATTCCCCTTTGAAAAACCACATTCCTATTGTATTGGCTAGTGGGATTCTGCACTTGGAAAATGGAACTTACAAGATTGATTCTTGGGTGTTGCGGAAGACGGCTATCGGATAGAGCAAAATCGCAACTGATAATTTGAGAAAATAAAAATGAGGATAAAAGAGACACAAAATTTACGTGGAAAACCCCTAAATAATATAGGGTAAAAACCACGGGCAACGGTAGAAGAATTTCACTATGAAAAAATAGGAATTACAACTTCTCTCTATCTACCAAGGAAAAAACAATGATAATTCTCTCTTGATAAAAAGGAGAAAACAATTCTCAAGAAACTCTCTAAATTCTCTAGTATTGGAAGAAAGCTAGAATGCTTTTGGGATGATTTTGAAGCTAAATGAGCTAGGGTATTTATAGTTGAAGCTTAAGGACTAATTTATAAATACCCTAAATTACAATGGCTAAATTACGATTCTACCATTGTCTAAAATTTCAACATTTTCTGCCACCTAAAGCAATTTCCACTTTCGGTGGATTTTTTTTCTTCTTTATTATCACCTTTCGGTGATTGAGAAAAATTTTCAACAATCTCCCACTTGAAGATTTGATTGGAACAATTATATCTTCACACCATTCTTTCTACCTTGTACCTTCATGTTGCTTATATCTCTGACAGAACACAAGAGGATCGACACCAAGTAAATTTATCGGTATCGATCGCATTCGTCATGAAATCTGCTATGTTGTCTTTGGTATGAATCTTCTGTATATCTACTGTCTCTTCTTCCACCTTTTCACGAATGAAGTGGTATTGTACTCGTATGTGTTTTGTCCTTGAATGAAATGTTGGATTCCTTGCTAGATGCAAGGCGCTTTGATTGTCACAAAACAGAGAGACATACTCTTGATTGTGCCCAAGCTCCTCCAATAGCATCTTCAATCAAATTGCTTCTTTACTGGCTTGTGTAGCTGCTATATATTCTGCCTCTGTTGTGGATGTAGCCACAACTGACTGCAATTTTGAAACCCAGCTTACAGCTCCACTAGCAATTTTGAACACATATCATGTAGTAGATTTGCTTTTATCCAAATCCCTTGCATAGTCAGAGTCTACATACCCATTGATTAGTAAGTTTGATCCTCCGTAACATAATGTAATATTTGAGGTACATTTGATGTATCTCAGGATCCTCTTTACTGTATTCCAATGCTCTTTGCTTGGATTCTCCATGTACTGACTAACCATTCCCACTGCTTGTGCAATGTCTGGTCTTGTGCATATCATAGCGAACATTAAACTTCCACTGTCGATGCATACGGTACTCGAGACATCTCCATCCTCTCTTCTTCACTGCTAGGACTCATACTAGAGGATAATTTGAAGTTAATAGGAAGAGGGGTAGAAATTGGCTTACAATCTTGCATGTTGAATCGTGACAAGATCTTCTTTAAGTAATTCTTTTGTGAAAGCCAAATCTTCTTATTACTTCTGTCTCGGTGAATTTGCATCCCTAGAATATTGTTTGCTGATCCCAAGTCCTTCATTTCCCTAGCCAATTGTGCCTTCAATTCTTCAATATGATCTTTGTTGGGTCCTGTAACCAACATGTCATCCACATACAATAGCAATATAACAAAATTATTATCACCAGACCTCTTGAAATAAGCACAAGGGTCTGCATTAAGTCTGTTGTATCCAAGGCAAATAATGAATGAATCAAATCTCTTATACCAACACCTCGGCGCTTGCTTTAGATCGTACAGAGATTTGTTCAACCTGCAAACCAAGTTCTTCTTTTCTTTTTCTTCAAAACCTTCAGGCTGGAGCATGTAAATCTCTTCTTCAAGATTTCCATGAACAAAAGTTGTTTTAACATCTAGTTTCTCTAGATGTAAGTTCAATGTAGCACACATTTCCAAGACTACTCAAACTGTTGTTAGTCGAACGACAGGAGAAAAGATTTCATTGAAATCAATATATTCTTTTTGAGCATATCCTTTGACCACCAGTCTTGCACGATACCTCTCAACTTGATCGTCACCATTTCGCTTGATTTTGAAGACTCATTTGTTACCAATTGGTTTCCTTCCTTGTGGTAGTGGCATAAGGTCCCATGTATTATTTTTATGAAGGGCTTCGATTTCTTCTTGCATCGCCATCATCCACAGTGAAGTATCTGAGCTGTTTATTGCCTCCTGGTATGTTGATGGCTCACCGTCCTCTGTTAAAAGGTAGTATGCAATATTTCCTTCTATAACATAATCTGAGTGCCAATTGGGACGTATTCTCACACGATCTGATTGACGAGTTGTTGGAGCTTCATAAATCTCTGGTTCTTGTTCATCATGTGGTGGTTCTGCTTCAGAATAATCTCTTTGTTCAAACTCCTTTTCCACATGTATCTATGTAGTATCTGAATTTTCAGTGCTATCATCATCTTCTTTTCTTTTTAGTTTATCTTCTACAAAGATGGCATCCCTACTGATGATCACTTTGTGGGCAGTGGGATCCCACAAGCAATACCCCTTTACACTATCAGCATACCCCAAGAATTTGCATTTCCTGGATTTTGGATAAAACTTTGAAATTTCTTTGGAGTTGTACATCACGTACACAATACTTCCAAATACATAGAGGTTTGAATAATCAGCTGGTTTACCAGTCCACATCTCCATTGGTGTCTTTAGCTTTATTACAGTTGATGGAGCGCGATTCACCAAATAACAGGCGGTATTGACTGCTTCTGCCCAGAATGATTTTTCTAGGCATACATCCCTCAACATTGCTCTTGTTCTTTCTAACAAAGTTCTGTTCATCCACTCTGCCACTCCATTTTGTTGAGGAGTGTTCGCCACTGTGAACTGTCTTTTGATGCCTTCTTTCCTGCAAAAGTCATCAAATTCTTCGCTTGTGTATTCTCCTCCATTATCTGTTCTGAAACACTTGATCTTATTTCCATAATCAAGTTCCACCAGCGCTTTGAAGATTTTGAAAGTTGAAAACACATCTGACTTCTTCTTAATAGGGTACACCCAACATCTCCTGGAATAGTCATCAATAAATGAGACAAAATATTTTGCTCCACTTAGGGATGTAACTGGTGCTTGCCATACGTCAAAATGAACCAATTCTAGAACACTTTTTCCTCTAGAATTTGACTTATTGAATTTTAACCGGTGTTGCTTACTTGTTATGCAATGCTCACACAAAGGAAGTGTTACCTTTGTTAATCCTGGAAGTAACTTTTGCTCCACAAGAACTTTCATTCCTTGTTCTAACATGTGTCCAAGTTTCTGATGTCATAGCATTGCAGAATCTGAACTACATGAGACAATAGAGACTTCTTCTTCTAGCAAAGTCTCTCCCTTCAGCATGTACAAGTTTGTTGCTATCTTTTCGCCTTTCAGCACCACAAGCGCTCCACGGAACACCTTCATGATTCATTTCAGTGTTTCAATCTTGCTTGCATTATTATCCAACAATTCGTAGGATAATAAATTTTTCTTCAGGCCTTTCACGTGTCGCACATCTCGAACAACTTTAATAGTTTCATCATACATCTTCAATTTGATGGTTCCCACGCCAACAATCTCTAGGGCATGATCATTGCAACTATACACAGATCCTCCTGAGACAGGTTCATAATGATGGAACCATTCTCTTCTTGAGGTCATGTGATATGTTGCTCCCGAATCAATGAGCCATATATATGCATATCTCTTTCTACCTTCCATGGTGGTTGACGCTTCACATCATAGAGCATCTCCATCATCTGAAGTGTTTGCGGTATTGCCTTGTGGATTGGAGTTTTTATTTAGACTCCAACAATCCTTCTTCAAGTGACCCTTCTTTACACAGTTGTAGCACTTTAAATTCTTTTTGCTACTCAACTTTGATCTACCATGTTTGTGACTGCTACTTTGGCCACGTTATATTGATCTCCCTCTCATCGTTGTCAACGCTTCTGCTTGTTGCAGATTTACTTGTCTGTCTTCCTTGTTCTTGCACCGATTTTCTTCTTATAGAACAGCAGCTACAACGTCATCGAAGACTAGACTGGTGACATTACTGTTTGTCAAGTTGATGATGAGTTGATCATACGAATCCGATAGACTTTGAAGTAGAAGATCAGCACGTTCTTGTTCTCCTATTTTACAACTTAAGGATGTAAGCTGAGAAAATAAAGTGTTCAGTGTATTTAAGTGCTCCGTCACTGAAGTAGATTCTGGCATACGGAGAGTGTACAATTTTCTCTTAAAGAAAATTTTATTGTGCAACGATGTGGCCTCGTACAATTTGGTGAGATGATCCCATATCTCCTTAGATGTCTTCTTCTCCTCGATGCATGACAATACTTCATCTGCTAATGCTAGATGAAAGTTAGCCATAACATTCCCGTCCATTTCGATCCATTTGTTGTCATCTGTGAAATCCATCGGCCTTTCACTGATAGCTGCTAGACAACCGTCTTTCCTCATGATGGCCTTCATCTTCAATTTCCACAATGAGAAATTTCTCTCATTAAATTTTTCAATATCAAATTTCGTTGTCATAGCTTCTATTACGGATAGCTCTCACTATTTCACTACCGTGAATAGTTCTCTAGAACCTTCAAAGAATGGGTAATATCTTCTTACTTTCTTATGTTGGAGGATCCATCTTTTGGTGGCAACCACAAAGATAATAAGCATATATTACACTCAAATCTGGCTTTGATACCAATTGTTGCGGAATACGACTATCGGATAGAGAAAAATCGCAACTGATAATTTGAGAAAATAAAAATGAGGATAAAAGAGACACAAAATTTACGTGAAAAACCCCTAAATAATATAGGGTAAAAACCACGGGCAACGGTAGAAGAATTTCATTATGAGAAAATAGGAATTACAGCTTCTCTCTATCTACCAAGGAGAAAACAATGATAATTCTCTCTTAATAAAAAGGAGAAAATAACTCTCAAAAAATCTCTAAATTCTCTAGTATTGGAAGAAAGCTAAAATGCTTTGGGATGATTTTGAAGCTAAATGAACTAGGGTATTTATAGTTGAAGCTTAAGGACTAATTTATAAATATTCTAAATTACAATGGTTAAATTATGATTCTACCATTGTCTAAAATTTCAATATTTTTTGTCACCTAAAGCAATTTCCACTTTCGGTGGATTTTTTTTCTTCTTTATTATCACCTTTCACCTGATTGAGAAGACTTTTCAACATTGGGATGGTAAAGAAGTTTCTGATGTGCTTGCGAAGTGCAATTTGATTCAGAAAAGGGAGGAGGCGATGTTTTCCCTTTTGATGTACGGAGCAAGAAATTCTTTGAATATAGAAAAGCTGTGTCACCAGAACCTGGACCAGGGAGTTCTGCTGGATGCTCTTATATCTGGCCTGATCTCATAACGAAGCGTTGCAAAGGAAAAATGTATGCACGGTTGTAAGTATTCTTAATTTTACATGGATCTTAACTTCCAGAATGAGAGATATGCGAAAAGTAGATCGCTGTTATTAATCTTCCATTTAATTTCTATTGCAGAAGAGATGAACTATCATTGGACGATACGCTTAATTTAGCTTCCTTCTTGGGAGAGCAGCTACAAAACCTTCATAGTTTACCCTATTCAACTGTTTCGGATGTTGAACAGGAGTGTTTTTTTGCCAATGACATGGACATCGATTTTGTCTCTCACAAATTAGATATTCCAGCTGAATGGGAACTCGTTGTGAGAACTCTAAGTCGGAAGAAGAAGGATGTTTCCAGCCGCTTGAAAAAATGGTATACTATCTATTAGTAATGATGTTTGCTGATCAACGTTGACACCAATAATGATTCTATTTAAAATATGTTAAGAGAAAATTTCCTTTCTTTCTCCTAGTTGCAACCGATGATACCGTGTTTGATTCATTGTGTTCGTACTCCATGGTTTAATCTTTCATTACTCTATGGAACTCATTGCTAAATAATGGGAAATTTTCTCGTCGCCCTTATCTTATTTTTGGGAATAATTTGAGATCAGTTCTCTTAAAACTGCATTTTTGTTATCTAGTTTAGTTATGTCGTCATTCTGCTATAGTGCTCCCATAGTACTCCACTGGACAATTTCTCAGATAAAGATTTCTTTCTGAGATGCCTCTACTAACCAAATTGTAGGGGGGACCCTGTTCCTGAGAAGCTGATGGAGAAAGTTAATGCGTACCTCCCTGATGATTTCCTGAAGCTGCTTTCTGTATCTGAGGTTTTTAGTAGTCCCATTATTCTTTTTTCAATATTTCTGATATTCCCTCTTGATATTATGTTTGGAATATCTTGCACAGTTATACGTAACGCTGTTCGTTACTGATTTATTGATAGGTCAGTGTCGATTGCATTCCTCGTTCCTATGGTTAAAGCTGTATTCGTTTTTAAATCCTTCATCTCTTTATGGAAGTAGAGAAACTTGATGACATCCATCAAACTTGAATTGGAATTTATTTTTCAGGTGATCCCCTTTATGACGTGATACCAATGCATTTGGATATCTTTAGAGGCAATTCATGTCTCCTCAAGCAGTTTCTCCAAAGCTATAAACTTCCGTTGATGCAAAAGACACAAGAGCATGGATCGCTCACTGCTAGCGATAAGTTCAGACGACTTTCGTACCATGCCATGTAAGTAATAGTGAGTTATTCATTCTTTCCTCGATATCATTTTTGTCAGTTTTTGGTGCCCAAAAAAAATCATGTGGTTATTTTGTATCTGCAGGTGCTACTGCATTTTGCATGACGATAATGTATTGGGGGCTATATTTAGTACATGGACCGAACTTAAAACAGCAGAATCATGGGAAGAGGTTGAGCAGACAGTATGGGGAGAATTAAATAACTATGAAGGCGTCGCTTGACGTGTTTGTCCGACTCGTCATTTTTCCTAAAGCACTTAATCGGATACGTACATGAGGCGTCGTCTTCCAGGTTTATAAAGGACCTTCATTTGGGTCAGACACATACTTTTATTTGACACTTGAGTCTGAATGACATGATTTGCATATAAACCAGTGATAGAATGTGTTGGCTGCGCATTGCAAGTGAGCAGGACATTTGATTCTTAGTATCCAAATTAATTTGATTGTGTTTAGTTTTCCAAGCCCCAATCCAATCCAGCTTTAGGATGCTAAGTGCCCAAGTTTCTAAATAGTTATTTATTTGTACTTTTGTATAGGCTAATTTACATTTAAATTCATTGAAATTAATTAGGGTGACGGAGCCGATGAGATTAAAGAAGCAGGGAAACAAGAGCAAAAGCAAACGAAACAAGAGCAAAAGCAAACGGAACAAGCACAGCAGTAGTGAGAATCTGCTGAGCTGGGCTCTCATTCTGTTGTTACAATATTTAAGGGTTTCATATTAAATGGAACTTGATTTTTATATGTTGTTTTTTATGGGAGGAGGTTCTCTCCCATCTCATTTTTTAGCCACTTTCTTACCTTTTGTTTTTTGTTTTTTTTGGAAATTCTCACTTGCGGCAGTCTTAATATACGCTAAAAAAATTTTATTAGTTTTGTTATTATTTAAATAACAAAACCGGTAAAAAATTCAGGAAACATTATTATTTCTACCGGTTTTGTTATTATTGGGCGGTTTACCAGATTTGGTAAAGCGCTACCGGTTTTGTTATTTTTTCTATCGGTTTTGTTATTGTTAAACCCTTTTTACCGGAAATGTTAAAAAATTTATGTTTTAGATAAAAATAATAATTTTTTAGGTAATTTTTTACCAATTTTATTATTTAAATAATAACAAAACCGATAACACCTTATTTTACCCTTATATTAAGGTATCGTTGCTTCGTCATGTAATCTTTTTCTCTTTTCCTTTTAACATTTTCTATCAAATATTAAATGTGCTTATGAAAGTTGGCATATGAGATTAAGGAAATTACGAAAATATAACAGTTTCTTTAGTAAATAGAAACTCAAAAAGAATTATAAAAATGTAATATATATATATAAGTGTATAATATATGTATATGAAATTGAAAGCATACTTATTTTGTTAATTTGACTAAATAAGTATGATTAATTTGTCATTGTGTTATGTGGTATATGCACATATTAAGCATAATATATATTTAAATATATTTAATTTTTGATAATTTTTATTTGGTCATTTTAAAATTATGATATATATTTTTAATCTTTTAATATTATTTTAGGATTTTTGTTTTTAGTAATTTGTTTTTTATGTTAATATTTATTTTTTAATATTCAAATATTTTTTTACTTTTTTGAAAAATAAGTTAAGTAAATCATCAAACTTTCTTTTTCTAGAAAAAAATTGACCCTTAAACTTGACAAAAAAATAATTTAGCCCTTCTGTCATATAACCATGACAAAAAATTAATTTAGACATTCTGTCATATAACCATTCATTGAAGAGTATTATACCAGTATCATGAATCATCGTATAAGTATCATAGACCATCACATTAACGTCATGAACCATCATATCGGTATTATAATAGTTAACGTTCAATTATTTTGGTCAAAGGTTTTTTTTCTCAATTTAAAGATTACGACAATTGCAAAAAAAATATATAGGATTACTTTTTTAATGTTTTTAAAATCTGACATTATTACATTAACAAGTTATATTTTATACCGACTTCACTAACTTTATTTTTAACTCCAATTGATCAATATGATATTGTTTTTTGAAAAGTAACTTTTAAAAATGTCGTAGAAAATACTTTTAAAAGTATTTTTTAAAAGTGCAATTTAAATTTTAAACTATAATAAAAATACAAAAATATTATATATGAAATATATCAATTTAAACTATAATAAAAATATAAAAATACAAATAAAAATATAATTATAATAAAAATATGTTTGATAATAACTCAATATTAATATTTTTATATTTTTATAAATCATAAATTTTATTTACTTTTAAATAATTAGAATAAATTTTTGAGAAAATAACTTCAGTGACCGAAAATGACCAACAAATTCGCAACGCGAACTCCAATTTCGCAACTCAGTTTCCAAATTCGCAACGAATATGTAAATCGCAACGCAAATTTGTAATTCACAACACATAAGTCAAATTCCCAACACAGAAGTCAAATTCGTAAAGCGCGTTTATTTTCGCAACGCGAATTTTATTTTCGAATTCGAAACACAATATTTATTTCGCAACACAAATGTAAACAGTATAATCGCAAATCATAACCTAAAACCCTAAATCACAACTTAGTCCCATCTCCATCTCTCACTCTCTACGGCGACATCTGTCCCCATCTCCGACGAAATTCATCCCCATCTCCGGCGAAATCCGTCCCTATCTCCGACGAAATCTGTCTATCTCCATCTCTCAGAGCCACCCTCACAACCATTCACGGTCAGAAATAGAAAATCAACCACCGAAGGTTATTTTTTAAATTATTTTATTTTGAAATTTTTATATTATTATTAGATTTTTCATATTTAAATTGATGATAAATTTACTGGTAATTTCAGTAATAGATTAACCATTTCACTTATATTGCTTAGTAAATTCATTCGGTTGCTGCCAATACCGCTAAACTGTTTAGTCTTTAACCCTGTGAAGTTAGTTTCAATTTGCAGAAGACTATTTTAAACTTAAATTCGCAACATGAAAATAAAAATCGCAACGCGATTTTAGTTTCACGTTGCGATTTTCATTTCGCGTTGCGAATTTAAGTTTTAGAAATTATTCTTCTTCTGTAAATTGAAACTTGAATGAATTGCATTACTTCAACCAAAAAACAAAGACAAATACTAACTTCACAGTGTTGCGAATTTAAGTTTCAAGAATAAACTACTATTCTTTATGTTGTCCTTGAACTTGCACTAAACCTATATGTTGTCCTTTTAAATGTTTATATAAGTGCTTACTTCTGGAATGTTATCTAATACATTTTGTGAACTATGATAGAATAATGACTTGGGTGAATACCGTGCAAGTTTGAAACATATTTGGCTTTGTTTTCACTGTTTAATATCATGTCTGTTTATAGTGTATAATTTGTAGTTTTTGGTATATCTAACTTGGTATGTTTATTGTTTTTGTATAATTTTTTTCGGCTTCATTGACCTTAAGGAATAAATTAAGCCTAGCCACTACCATTGCGTCGACGCTTACACATGTACAAAGAAAATTGTTTGAGGATACTTGCTTCGGGCCATGGCTAAAAGTACAACATTCGGGTGGAGATGCTATGTTGACCCATTTTTTTCTTCAGACCATGACTAACCATCTACCCGAGAGGATACAACGTGGTGATGAAGAGATATGGTTTCATTTTCCTCCGGCGTATACTTGTTTTGGGCGGGAGGAGTTTAGCTTAATCACTAGTCTACGCTTTGGACATGATGATGTAGGTCGGTACACTAGTCATATCGCCCGCCCATCATGGTTATCTCGGGTTTTTCCTGAGCTGGTAAAGGTGAAGCCGAGTTTACACGTCGATGACTTGAAAAGATTATTTGTTAAAGATGGTTTTACTCGGATGGATGACCTCGATGTTGTCCGAGTATGTCATTTATTACTTTTGCATGCCGGCTTTTTAGGCAAAGAGGCCAGACAACCTATTTTTGAGGACCTAATATTATTGGTAGAGGACCTAAATACATGAAACATGTTTCCGTGGGGTTCATATCTATGGAAAGCTACCTGGAAAAAGTTGTCGTCTGCCTTTGAGGATCGAAAAAGTTTGCGTGGCCATGGTTCCAAATACACTTTGGCAGGCTTTATTTGGGCCTTTAAGGTAATAATTTCTATATAATGTTTCCAAAATTATAATTAATTATTTAACAATTACTAATGTTTGTGTATTATATTGTTTGTAGATTTGGATATTTGAGGCTTTTCCCAACATGCGGACATATGCAATCAAAAATTCAAATGATATTCCTAGGGCTATTTCCTGGAGGAGGATCCGACTGTTGGATTGGGAAGAGTTACTATCATATACGACGATGAATGATGTAAGTTAACACAAATACTACCATATATAAACAAGTTATTACTAGTAGATGTTTAACTTTGTTTGAGCTTTTATATTGTTAGGAGGCCAACTATCCATTACAGAGGCTGACACCCACAGAGGCTGAGCTTGCCACTGATTTGTGGCAAGCTAGTAAGCGTTTTTTGATGGCACGGATGATGAGCAGCCCCCACTTCGAGAGCCATCACCTCACCCAGAGCCATCACCTGATTGAGCCGATTATACACCTCCACAACGAGATCCATCACCTATTCAATCACATCATCGAGCCTCTTATCCACCATCACCTCATGATAGGCGACCGGCAAAGATGCCACGACATTTATCTCCCTGTTCTCCACCTCCACGGGATGAGTTAGGGGAGTTACGTAATGAGCTCAATGCTTTGCGTGAGGAGATTGGTACTTTACGTGAAGACAATGGTGCATGGCGTGATGAGGTACGGTCTTTACGTGGTGAGGTAGAGGTTTTACGCGATGACAATGGTGCTTTACGTGGTGAGGTATCTACTTTATGTGATGAGGTAGCCGCTCTATGGGATATTATTGTATTGTTGCAGAATGAGGTTCATACTCTACGCAATGAGGTAAGTTTGTTTAATACTATACTAAAAATGCAAATAATAATTTTTCGACATTATTTATTTGTTTATTTATTGATTTATGTATTAATTTATTTTTAGCGGCCCGATAAGGTAGATGCTTTACGTCGGTTTTTTCTTGCACGACGGGATTCACACATAAGACGTCGTGCACGTGCCATTACGTCTTCGTTCACCCCAATAGTGTCAAGACTCCGTAAGAAGAAGCCTGATTCACCTGTCATCGTTCAAGAGGCCCCTATCATCCTTCAAGAGGCCCGTTCCACCATTCAAGAGGCCCCTGTCATCGTTCAAGAG